ATTATTATTATTATTATTTATGCAACAGAAAATACATAATATTGGAAATGTTCTGTATCCGCTTCATACATGTAACACAGTGTAGTTTCTGAAGAGATCCACATAAGACGAATTAGAGCATTAGCACGAACGCTAGCGACAAATTCGCGACAATCAGCGACAAATATATGCATTATCATTTAAAAATTCGTTATTTTGACCCTGACCTCGTTTATCTTCTACGACAGTATTATTATAAACAAAAAACTGGAAGTTGAGGACAGGAGCACGACTCTGAAGAATGAACTGTTTGAACGAAACCTTGTCTGTCAGAGTAATCCTCCCCGATGTTTACACATAATATAATAAAACCTAATAAGATTAATTACATTAATTATTTCATTAATTCTTAATTCCGAAGGGATCTCACTCTGCTCATCTGCCCACACGTTACAGACAAAGCTCACGTGTACTCGAATCGAGAAACGGAGTTTGTTTTATCCGCGCATAATTTTCCCGTCTGTGTGTTTTGCAATTCATACGTCCGTAGCAGCAAAACTATAAACGCTGAACAAACTGCGGAAAGCGAGGAGTAACATTCTCCGTCTGATATTCACTGACAGCTCGTTCTCATAAGTAAACATCTTCAGCATGCTGCGCGCGGTCTTTCGTAACAAGATTCAATGCAGCGTGGCAGTGACTTTCACACGACCTTCACATATCCACTAACTCGTTCAACCGCGGACGTGCTTGCCACACAAAAGTAATTAGGGCGACTATCGGCATTGTTTACTGATCAAAGTTTCAGAATAGAAGTGGGAGGAGGGATTTTTCGCGGGGGAGAAAGAATCGGGGGGAGGGGATGCGTTCTCACCTCCTGATCCATGATGCTGTTGAGAACCTCCAGCTTCTGCTGCAACTCCTTAGCCTCCCCCTCCTGCAGATCTGCAACACAAACGCACCGATACAATGCATACATATTATTATATTATTAATTACAACCTACTAATGTTAATATTAATATTATATTGTATTATATTAATATTGCACCATAATACCATATTATGCGCCATTAACAACAAAAAAACATGTTATACATGTAACTGTAGATATAACGTAACCTGTGTAAATACATTTTTGTATTATATTAACATTGTTGTATTGTAATATGTAAATTAGAGCAAGATGTGAACAATATAAACGTGGTACAATGTACAATGGTAACAATGGTAACAATGGTAACATGTAACAATGGTTAGTAGAACGACATGCCCCGCTGAATCTTACATGTAGGGGCCTACTCGCAAAACCTGCAAATACCATATCGTTTCACTTTAAAATTTAATAGACAAAGCACTGACATTTCAGCTCTCAGTGATGCGACTACTATTTTGAAGCGGGAGATCTCTCCGATTGTTTACTTTATTCTCCCTGCGTTTCGTACGCAGGCCGCACCACGTCCAGTACCAATTACCTTCACTTTATTGAAGCGTCAACCTGTCTTCGACTGCTCATTAAATGCAAACATCTGATGATATGATGATCTGATGCGTCATCGACTTACGTGAAATCTTGCCTCGCTCACTATCAGCTCTGTCGCATACACTACCGCAGGATAGCATCATACTAGGGATTCTCGAGTTTAACGTAAACTGCCCTTTCTCCTTGCCTCCCTCTTTCCGGAATCCTTTGACCCACATCAGTACTACGTTCTTAATTTCCTTACGGTCTTTTATTGCGTGCAAGTGCCGGGAACTGTCAGTCAGTCGCGCGTTTTTTCGACTAGGGTGAGTGCGAGAATCACACGTTACGCGAACCAAAGTAAGTGCGGCGCGCGGGAAAAGAACGGTTTGATTTTAAAAGAACCGTCGTTGAATTTAATCACACGCAAGGCTGACAATTTCATGAATCGTAAGCGTAATCGACGGCCGTTATTCCCGGCGCCGCCGCCGCCGCCGCTGCCGCCGCCGTCGCCGAGCGTGCGTGCGAGCTCCTCTGGGTTTAGCGGAGAAATATTTCACGTCGCAGTGAGAGATAGAGAGAGAAAGACAGAGAGGGGGCGAAAGAGAGAGAGAGAGAGAGAGA